CTTAGACTAAGAATAGCTAAGAGCGTTGTTATGATCTGGCCTTAGACTAAGAATAGTTAAGAGCGTTGTTATGATTTGGCCTTAGATTAAGAACGATTTAAGAGCACTATCAAAATAATAACTGAATTAAATAAAATATGTTGATAAGAACTGAATAATATCAAAACTGTGAATGTCTGAAGTGAACATTGTGTGCATGATATCAAATGATTTGATTATGAATTTAGATTCAGTTTATATGGATGTTCGACGCATTAGATATGCTTACTCAGCTTTACCGCTGAGCGTGTAGTATGTTTTAATTGCTACACGCAGGTAAACAGAAAGAACAATGTGATCCTGGTGGCAGATGAGGCGAGATTGTCGGGATGGATGTGACAAGTTTTGAAATGAATTATGATATGTCAATTTTTAATTCGCTTCCGCAATATTGTTGAATACTCCGTACTCTATATGTTATGAAAAATATTATTGGGATTAATAAAGTGTGTTTGAAAAGTTTTAAATTTTTACGATTACCAAGTTAAATACTTTAGTCCGAATGGGGCTGCAGACCTGGACGGATTAGGGTGTTACAATGACGGTGTGTTCACATCCGCACATGGGCAGATATTATCTAGAGGTAATAGGATTCCGGACTGACCCATTCTAAAGATGTTGCTTGAATTTTTAGTTCATGCTCTAAGCATCTTTAGCGCGACCACGGGTGTAACTATCCTTCGACTTGAAGTATTACGTTTTCTGCATATGTGAACCCGCATACTTTGATGCGTTGTCCTAAGCCATATGAAATAAGGATGGTATACAGGCTTTGTTTTGGGTATGCCGCAGCGCGTATTCAGAAACGTAGATTACATACATAGGATTTGTCACTACTCTTTTTCAAGAGATTAACGTCTTATGGGGCCCACTCATAAGTTATGACTAAGGAAATTGCATGGCCATGCTGAGATGCTTTTATGACGTCTGTTCCTATTAGTCGGGTTTGATAAATCAGTGAATGACTTAATGGATACAAGTTGGATTTTATTAATCCATTGCATTGAGTTTAGACATTGAGACAAAGGGATACAGTTACACGGAGTCTGAGTCGTGGAAAGGTTTTGACAGTGCAAACGTCTTAACTTATAATCTGGGGGCAATAATGTGTTGCTAGATACCGCTTATTGCTTATAGTATTGGTGCAGAGCCAATACTGTGGCCAGTTTTATAAGTGTCTATACGGGTCACACACTTTGGACTATTTAAGGAGTAGGATTAAACAATGGGATAATAAGTATATTTGTATACTTATTTAAAATGATATTGGTATTTTTATTTGATTTAAAATTAATTTTATATTAATTTTTAGTGTCAAATAAAATACACTTTGAACATTTAAGTGGAGAAGAACTTTGAAAATCCTTCTCACTTTCTCAAATCTTCAATTACGGCCATGTGATGTTTATGAGGACAAAAACACTTTTGACTTTGCATTTTAAAGATGTAGGAAATTTCCTAATTTGTCATTAAGTGTATAATTGTTTTTAAATCCTCTTTAAAACTCCATATAAAATTGAGGTGTGAGAAGAAACTTTCGGCCATTACATTTTAAAGAGAGAGAAAAATATTAGTTTGGTTCCATTAATATCATTTTGTGTGTAGAAAATATCTATAATATTTTCTAAATATCCAAGAAATATTTTCTATAGAAATATACATGATTATTATTATCCCAATTTTAATCTTTATATTTTATACTACTATAATCTTTACTAGCATAAAGATTGTGGTAGACTCCGGCGTTGTTTGTGTGTCAAAGTTGGAGACCGGACGCTTGAACGGTTACGTTTGCAGTTTCAACGCTCTTCCTACGACTTCTTCGTTTTTACAGCTTACGGAGAAAGGTATAAATTTCTTACCTACTATAAGTTTTAGTACGTGATTCTGGGCAAGATAATCATGTTAGGATGTTAAAAATTTTTATATTCCGCTGCCTATCCTTGCATGGTTACCTTTCAGTGGTATCAGAGCCAACGTACAAAACTATAGTTTTACGTTTGACTTTTAAAATTTTAAAAGTCAAAGTTTTAACTTGGTAATTATTAAAATTCAAAATTGGTAAAATGATTTTATTTAGTCTTGCAATAAGTATTGGACTTAAATAAATCATTGAAAATGAATTTTAAATTTATTTATTTTATTTCTACCCGTAATATATATAAATACATATATTTTGATTTTTCAAAATATATATTTATATATATTGTAGAAATAGTAAATATAATTTTATTTGGACATAAAACACCATTTTACGTTTGATAAAATTATATTGTAATTTTTGAATGTATTATTTCCTATTTTGAATTTATTGTATTTATTTAGGTGAAAACCGAAAATAAATATGGGAAAATTCAAAAAGAACTTTATTAAGCTTAGAAATATTATTTCTAAGTTCAATGAGGTTGTTTATAAATATATTGTACAAAATAATATTAGTTAGTAATTAAATAAATATATATTTATATATGTACTCGGTATTATTACCGAAATATTATATATATTTATATATTTGTATTTTAATTACATAAATGACTAATATATATTTTGGAAAGTTATATCTCGGTAAGAAAAAGAATGTTTTTCAAAATATTAAATTTTTATAATTTAATGTTTTCAAAAATAATTTAAATGGCATTTTATAACTTATTGAGATTTAACTAATATATTTTGGAAAAACTGATTTATAAATTTTGGAAATTTTATTTCCAGGTTTATAAATGTTAAAAATAACTACTGGAAGTTGAAATTTAATTTTCATGATTTTTGCAAAATTGTTTTGAAATTTTATTGTCTTGTTGAAAATAATTTTGCAAAAAGGGCATTTTGGTCAATTGGAATATTCTGGATTTTTATGCTGGCAGAATATCCAGAATGCATAAAATGATTATTATAAAATTTTATTAGATTTATTTGGACATCTAATTTAATTTTATGAGTTTTAGAAAATATTTACTGCCGTAGTATTTTTCTAGAACTGTCTGGGGTGAGCGCGGTTCACCCGGTGTATGTATATCTCTATTGCTTGTGTGGATGTATGATATGCATGGTGGATGATTGTGGCTATAGTTTATTTGATTATAATACGGCCTGCGTGTCGTGCCTTATCTCATAAACTCTTGTTGTAAATCTATTTCTCTCT